AAGACCCAGGTTCGATTCTCCTTATTGGTGCAATGTTTGAAGCCAATTACCTGTGTCCCCCGCCGTGATATTGCTGGAATATTGCTAAAAGCGGCATAAAACCATACTCACTCACTCACTCACTCACTAGTTCTCTAATTGCTAGATATATACTGTTATGTACTTGCTGACGTCTAGTACCTGGTGGTCCAGTACCTGATCTACTGGTAAAATAACCGCTGGCGGCCATTTTTGAAAATGACCGCCATTGTTGCCAGATTAAAATCTGCAATGGCCTAAAAGCTAAACTTCTTTCTTCGTGCATGCTCTGACAGTGTGCCAAAGATCATGATTGTAATCATCAAAGGCCCAATCCCCTGAAATATTTGATGGAGCTGACATACCAATGGGGCATATTTTGCACAGGAATCACTGTAGTGTAGTGATTTGAATGCTTTTCTCAAAGTGCGATTGCATCATCAGAAGAGATTCTTTCACTGTTTTATCTTTTCTAGATACAATTTTTTACAACCCGCAGTCACAAATGTGGAATATTGCCGAGTTGGGCGTTAAACAAACTAACAAACAAACAAATACCCAGTAATAATGTAAACAGGTTTTTGCAAATGTGTTTTTAACGTGTGCTGTAATATTGTTCTGATTGTGTTCGGATCATTTAGTGAATCAGTAGGACCGTAGGAAAATGGGTCTTTGCTCTTTTCAGGTGAAAATATAAATTCATTATCAACAGATTAACATGGTGCCTGACACCCCGAGCTCGATATCTAGCCCTTTTTAAGCTAGTATGTTTACATGGAGAAACCGACAATCAGCGACAATATCTATAATTAAATCCTTTCATTTAGCGTTACTTGCTCCAGCCTTTGATCACAGACATTGATCGTTTTTTCATACCGGGTTAAATAGAGAATCTCACCCGATTGTCTTTTGATATCAAATATATCAACACGAGTTGATAAAAGTGGAAAAATTCCGAGGCTTGCCGAGGATTTTTGCCATTTTTTAATCAACGAGTGTAGATATATTTGATATCAATAGACACGAGGATGAGATTTTATTTATCATCCAACATCATTCTTTCAACTTTTTCAATTTGTAGACAGTAATTAGCAGTGTCTTCAGTGTAAAAAGTACTGAAAACAGCTTCAGTAGCAGAGCCATTAGTGATGTCATTTGATTGTGACATCATGGTAACAAGTGACGTCACAATGGTCTGCAAAGCATTGTGATGTAATTTCATTGCAGCGATATCTACAGTGTAGATATCGCTTGATCTCATCCAAGCGATATCTCCTGTGGGAGCCAGTTTGGGATGATAAATAACATTTTTCCTCCTATCAGGTTCACCACCGACCACGCAAACATCTCCCTCACACACAGCCACCTCCTCCCCCACACCCAGCCACTGTTTACACAATACAAGGCAAGGCCATATGACCTATACCTGTCAAGCAGTAATCGTTTATGTCTAAATACGCCTTATCATACTATTGTTAAGCATATCGTTAATGTTTACATTAGCTTTGCTCCGAATGCGTTAAATCCTACTCGGTTAAACTCGTGAATGGAATATTCCCTAAACGATCATATTCGGGCCATTCACGCGTTGACATGTTTATAAAACCCGCGCCTGTGGGGACACTTTGTATTTATCAAAACGCATGACCTCTGATCTAGGTATTACGTTTTATTACTTTGTTGAGGATCATTTTCTCGAAATGCATAATGTCGAAATATTTGTGAAATCAACTTAGGTTTACAACTGCTAATTTAAAGTGAAATTTCGCAAAGAAATGATTTTTAAAGCCCAAATTGGATTTGAGACATTTCAAAAATCTTATATTTCTTAATTATTTAATGAGATCTAGCTACAAAGTGGAATAAAAAAATGTATTTTGATCCACATTTTTGGAAATATTATGTAGGCGAACCCGAAAACCCAAAAAATGAAATTACTTGCCCTAATTATACACTGTTATTGCAATGGTTGCGATGAAGATATAAGATATTTCTGAAGATGAATCAGCGCTGGCCAGTTTATGTTCATGGACCTTTATATTCGGTAACATTGATTGTTATATCCGATTACCATACAAGCTGTTTCTCTTTGAATGAATTTGTAGTGTCTATGTAATGCTGTGTATAAAAACAGTGAGGTTCTACATTGGGGGTATCACCATGAGCAGTTTCCTCTTTATATATATTGAATACAGAATGCTGAGACCGTTTAACTCAGCATGCAACTCATTGTTGCAACTTTAGGTGTAACTAGCGACTTCTCATGATGTACAAACTTAGCATTACGGTGCCTTGTACATTTACTGACTGGTATGTTGTACAGAAACTTTGTTAAAATACATGTTTCAAGTAAATGCTTCATGGCTTAAGGTTGCAAATGGACTTAAGGCTTAAAAAGGGACTATGGTCTGTGATCTGATCCCATTTTTAATCTAGGCCTAGACACCATGTTTCGTGCCCTGTGTGAAGCGAAGACATTAACTGTTAAAGAATTGTGTCAAAGTCTTCAATCCAATTTGCTTGGACTGCCTATTTGTTGGGGCGTAAAACCTTTAACTGACATGGCTTGTTTCAACTTGTCATTAGTAAGTGTAAGAACTATTCACTACACTTGTTTTACTTGTCAATAGGAAGTGTAAGAACCACTCACTGCACTTGTTTTACTTGTCAGTAGGATGTGTAAGAATCCTTTACTGCACTTGTTTTACTTGTCATTAGTAAGTGTAAGAACCGTCCACTGCACTTGTTTTACTTGTCATTAGTAAGTGTAAGAACCATTCATTGCACTTGTTTTACTTGTCATCAGAAAGTGTAAGAACCATTCACTGCACTTGTTTTACTTGTCATTAGTAAGTGTAAGAACCATTCATTGCACTTGTTTTACTTGTCATTAGTAAGTGTAAGAACCGTCCACTGCACTTGTTTTACTTGTCATTAGTAAGTGTAAGAACCGTCCACTGCACTTGTTTTACTTGTCATTAGTAAGTGTAAGAACCGTCCACTGCACTTGTTTTACTTGTCATTAGTAAGTGTAAGAACCATTCATTGCACTTGTTTTACTTGTCATCAGAAAGTGTAAGAACCATTCACTGCACTTGTTTTACTTGTCATTAATAAGTGTAAGAACCGTTCACTGCACTTGTTTTACTTGTCATTAGTAAGTGTAAGAACCATTCACTGCACTTGTTTTACTTGTCATTAGTAAGTGTAAGGACCATTCACTGCACTTGTTTTACTTGTCATTAGTAAGTGTAAGAACCATTCACTGCATATGTTTTATTTGTCATCAGAAAGTGTAAGAACCATTCACTGCACTTGTTTTACTTGTAATAAGTAAGTGTAAGAACCATTCACTGCACTTGTTTTACTTGTCATCAGTAAGTGTAAGAACCGTTCACTGCACTTGTTTTACTTGTCATTAGTAAGTGTAAGAACCATTCACTGCATATGTTTTATTTGTCATCAGAAAGTGTAAGAACCATTCACTGCACATGGTTTACTTGTCATTAGTAAGTGTAAGAACCATTCTCTGCACTCGTTTTACTTGTCATCAGTAAGTGTAAGAACCGTTCACTGCACTTGTTTTACTTGTCATTAGTAAGTGTAAGAACCATTCACTGCACTTGTTTTACTTGTCATTAGTAAGTGTAAGAACCATTCACTGCACATGGTTTACTTGTCATTAGTAAGTGTAAGAACCATTCTCTGCACTCGTTTTACTTGTCATCAGTTAGTGTAAGAACCGTTCACTGCATATGTTTTACTTGTCATTAGTAAGTGTAAGAACCATTCACTGCACTTGTTTTACTTGTCATTAGTAAGTGTAAGAACCATTCACTGCACTTGTTTTACTTGTCATTAGTAAGTGTAAGAACCATTCACTGCACTTGTTTTACTTGTCATTAGTAAGTGTAAGAACCATTCACTGCACTTGTTTTACTTGTCATTAGTAAGTGTAAGAACCATTCATTGCACTTGTTTTACTTGTCATTAGTAAGTGTAAGAACCATTCACTGCACTTGTTTTACTTGTCATTAGTAAGTGTAAGAACCATTCACTGCACTTGTTTTACTTGTCATTAGTAAGTGTAAGAACCATTCACTACACTTGTTTTACTTGTCATTAGTAAGTGTAAGAACCATTCACTGCACTTGTTTTACTTGTCATTAGTAAGTGTAAGAACCATTCACTGCACTTGTTTTACTTGTCATTAGTAAGTGTAAGAACCATTCACTGCACTTGCTTTACTTTACATAACAACCATACATACATAATTGATACACAATCGATACATAATTAAACCAATTACCACTGGTACTACATCCACTTCATTTATACCAAATTTACCACCGGTAATACTTCCAAATCATTTATTCAACATTTACCACCGGTGATATATTCACTTTATTTATACAACATTTACCATCGGTGATACATCCACTTCAATTATACAACATTTACCACCGGTAATACATTCACTTTATTTATATAACATTTACCACCAATAATACATTCACTTTATTTACACAACATTTACCACCGGTAATACACCCACTTCATTTTTACAACATTTACCACCAATAATACATTCACTTTATTTACACAACATTTACCACCGGTAATACACCCACTTCATTTTTACAACATTTACCACCAATAATACATTCACTTTATTTATACAACATTTACCACCGGTAATACACCCACTTCATTTTTACAACATTTACCACCAATAATACATTCACTTTATTTATACAACATTTACCACCGGTAATATATTCACAGCATTTTACTTTACCATCGTTAATTCATTCAATGCAAATAGTATAATAAATATTCCTATCACATATTTAATAAACGATGAACAGGTATATGCCTCGCACGAAATTCCGAACTACCACATGTTTAATGCATATTCTAAACAATCAATAACTCCCACATCTGGAGCCCCATTGAAGTATAAATGTGTGTCATTTCCCGCGTTGTTGCTACACGTGTTCTTAAAATTGCGAGGTAATAGTTGACGAGGAGACATGGAGACAAGTGTAGCTGTTGGATCGCGTTCATCGCAAGAGTCAGACCAAAGCCGACGATGGACAAACAAACTGAAGTCCACACTTTACAGGAAGAAGTTTCTATACACGGCATGCCTTTTGTTCGCCAACTTTATGTCGGTAAGTCAATTGAAGCTGTTGCACACGAGTTCAAATTACACAAACGCACAATTTGAAATCTTCAAACCTTGTTGATAACATGATATCGGTTTCCCGTACACGGCTTGCACTGAACTGGTCACAGCTGGCTTGTGTTAGGAGGACGTGCCACCTAAATCTGATGTACACTGTAGGCAACATATTTGCCAGTATGACAAGATAATCGTGTATCCTAATTACAGTAAACTACGGTTATAACGAACTCAAAGGGACCACTAAGTTTAGTTCGTAAAAACCGTAGTTCGTTATAAGCATGTATACAGCATATATACATCAAATGGTCGGGACTAAAAATAAGTTCGCTATATCCGTCAGTTCGTTATAAGCGTGTTCGTTATAAACGTAGTCTACTGAGGTAATTTTATCTTTTCCAAATCATCAACATTACATAAAACTTGATACCTTTATTAGGACCTTGACTGTGTCTCATGGCCATTCAGAGACAGGATATGTACATTCTCCGTATGTTTAAACCAGGAAACTAACTAGGACCTTGACTGTGTCTCAAGGCCATTCAGAGACAAGATATGCACAATCTCCGTATGTTTAAACGAGGAAACTAACTAGGACCTTGGCTGTGTCTCAAGGCCATTCAGAGACAGGATATGTACAATCTCCGTATGTTTAAACGAGGAAACTAACTGGGGCCTTGACTGTGTCTCAAGACCATTAAGAGACAGGATATGTACAATCTCAATATGTTTAAACGAGAAGACTAACTAGGACCTTGACTGTGTCTCAAGGCCATTCAGAGACAGGATATGTACAATCTCCGTATGTTTAAACGAGAAGACTAACTAGGACCTTGACTGTGTCTCAAGGCCATTCAGAGACAGGATATGTACAATCTCCGTATGTTTAAACGAGGAAACTAACTAGGACCTTGGCTGTGTCTCAAGGCCATTCAGAGACAGGATATGTACAATCTCCGTATGTTTAAACGAGGAAACTAACTAGGACCTTGGCTGTGTCTCAAGGCCATTCAGAGACAGGACATGTACAATCTCCGTATGTTTAAACGAGGAAACTAACTGGGACCTTGGCTGTGTCTCAAGGCCATTCAGAGACAGGACATGTACAATCTCCGTATGTTTAAATGAGGAAACTAACTAGGACCTTGGCTGTGTCTCAAGGCCATTCAGAGACAGGACATGTACAATCTCAATATGTTTAAATGAGGAAACTAACTAGGACCTTGGCTGTGTCTCAAGGCCATTCAGAGACAGGACATGTACAATCTCCGTATGTTTAAATGAGGAAACTAACTGGGACCTTGGCTGTGTCTCAAGGCCATTCAGAGACAGGACATGTACAATCTCCGTATGTTTAAACGAGAAGACTAACTAGGACCTTGACTGTGTCTCAAGGCCATTCAGAGACAGGACATGTACAATCTCCGTATGTTTAAACGAGGAAACTAACTAGGACCTTGACTGTGTCTCAAGGCCATTCAGAGACAGGACATGTACAATCTCCGTATGTTTAAACGAGAAGACTAACTAGGACCTTGACTGTGTCTCAAGGCCATTCAGAGACAGGACATGTACAATCTCCGTATGTTTAAACGAGGAAACTAACTAGGACCTTGACTGTGTCTCAAGGCCATTCAGAGACAGGACATGTACAATCTCCGTATGTTTAAACGAGAAGACTAACTAGGACCTTGACTGTGTCTCAAGGCCATTCAGAGACAGGACATGTACAATCTCCGTATGTTTAAACGAGGAAACTAACTAGGACCTTGACTGTGTCTCAAGGCCATTCAGAGACAGGATATGTACAATCTCCGTATGTTTAAACGAGGAAACTAACTAGGACCTTGACTGTGTGTCATGGCCATTCAGAGACAGGACATGTACAATCTCCGTATGTTTAAACGAGGAAACTAACTAGGACCTTGACTGTGTCTCATGGCCATTCAGAGACAGGACATGTACAATCTCCGTATGTTTAAACGAGGAAACTAACTAGGACCTTGACAGTGTCTCATGGCCATTCAGAGACAGGACATGTACAATCTCCGTATGTTTAAACGAGGAAACTAACTAGGACCTTGACAGTGTCTCATGGCCATTCAGAGACAGGACATGTACAATCTCCGTATGTTTAAACGAGGAAACTAACTAGGACCTTGGCTGTGTGTCATGGCCATTCAGAGACAGGACATGTACAATCTTAATATGTTTAAACGAGGAAACTAACTGGGACTTGCGTGGCCACATGGACGACTGGGAATCGATATTCGATCGGGAACAGTTGATAAGAGTTGTGACTGTACATGTTTGTTAAACTCAAGGTACTTGCTCGTGAAACGACATATGGGTAATGTGGTAGTTTCGTTGAATGATAAAGATTCCATGACTAAATATATGTACTATATGTGTTTCCCAATCGATAATCTCCGTGAAGTTAAAGCATATATTACAAATGTAATCGCTGGGATCAATTTAAGCAAGTTCAGATACGTGTTAGCTTTTTTACCAAATACCTTTGGCATAACCCTATGACATAACATATTAATGAAAGACATGGTTCTAAATATCAGGATAATATGTATTTTTTATATTTTATTAATGTACTGCTTTACCTGATGCCCTCAAGATAATATATTCCACTTATATGAGCCACAACCTCGGTCTAGTATATAGTTAATGTATTGCAGACACCAATGTCGAAGTTATACAGGCCACCTGTGAAGATCCGGGTCAGAATAGGTCTTTTGTAATCAATGCATGCCTTAAAGGCGACGACGCTTGTCGTAAGAGGCGACGAACGGGATCGTGTGGTCACTGACTTGGTTGATGCATGTCATTGTATCCCAATTGCGTAGATCGATGCTCATGATGTCAATCACTGGATTATTTGGTCCAGACTTGATTATTTACAGGTCGCCGTCATAGGGCTAGAATATTGCTCATTCGCTTACATTCTTACTCACTCTACGTATGGCAAAAGTGCGTCAACTAAAAGTGCTCCCGATTATCAGATTGAAGCACCTTACTAACAATACAAGGAACATTTACGATAGGTCAAAGTAGTCGTGCAATTTCCATAGTGATCATACCTATATATGTACCTATACCACGGAGGGACAATATTCATCAGCTATTGTACCAACATAGTCCTGGTATATACACCTACATGTAAAGTTATGGACGATCTGTTTCAATATGGCTTCCTTACACGCACCGTATCATTTTGTCGATCTCAGTGTTGTTCATAACTGATAATGATTTTAGTACTTTGAAATCTCTCAGATTGTCCTGTTTATCATGTCATGTTTATAGATCGCCAATAATTTACATTACTTAGACTCAATAATTATCATTTCCCATTGTTTTGGCAACATTTGTGTAAACTGTACAATAGTTTGAAAACTCCTCAATACATTGACAATGGCCTACGATAACACTCGCGTTAAGGGATCGCTATTGCAATATTACAAATTCATCATTCGGATGAAAACAGAACTTGAGAGTACAACAATAGTTTATTTTCTGGTTACAGATCCTTGTGTTCAAGTTATATCAATCATATTGTTCACATGTGTACATATGTCATGCCTTGTTCACCACCCATACTAAAAACTTTCAGATTGAGGTTTGTTTTTCCTCTCCCTGAATACAAGTTACATATTAACATGACCCCCTCGCCCTAAATAAATAAACAGTAAACGTGTTCAAATGAACAAATAGAACTGTAATTTTTCCTTACCCCCTCCAGATCTCTCCGGCCTCTAATGACCAGTCTCCCCAGTCTCCCCTAATGACCAGTCTCCCCAGTCTCGCCTAATGACCAGTCTCTCCAGTCTCCCCTAATGACCAGTCACCCCAGCCTCCCCTAATGACCAGTCTCCCCTAAAGACCAGTCTCCCCAGTCTCCCCTAATGATCAGTCTCCCCTAATGATCAGTCTCCCGAGTCTCCCCTACTGACCAGTCTCCCCAGTCTCCCCTACTGACCAGTCTCCCCTAATGACTAGTCTCCCCTACTGACCAGTCTCCCCAGTCTCCCCTACTGACCAGTCTCCCCTATGATCAATCTCCCCTAATGACCAGTCTCCCCTAATGACCAGTCTCTCCAGTCTCCCCTAATGGCCAGTCTCTCCAGTCCCCCCTAATGACCAGTCTCCCCAGTCTCCCCTAATGACCAGTCTCCCCAGTCTCCCCTACTGACCAGTCTCCCCGTCACCCCTACTGACAAGTCTCCCCTAATGATCAGTCTCCCCTAATGACCAGTCTCCCCAGTCTCCCCTAATGACCAGTCTCCCCAGTCTCCCCTATTGACCAGTCTCCCCTAATGATCAGTCTCCCCTTATGACCAGTCTCCCCTAATGACCAGTCTCCCCAGTCTCCCCTAATGACCAGTCTCCCCTAATGACCAGTCTCCCCAGTCTCCCCTAATGACCAGTCTCCCCAGTCTCCCTAATGACCAGTCTCCCCAGTCTCCCCTAATGACCAGTCTCCCCTCATGAACGTATATATTCATGCTTCCCTTGCCATGACTAGAGGTATCTACTCAGGCGAACAATTAAATTTATCTTGTTTTCGTTATCAGTGTCCTGTTAAGGGCTTATGACGGGAAGTACGTTCCGCAAGCCAACTAATGTTAACCCATCCACCCATGAGGAAGTAACGGCTACCGAACCCGGACATAAATCTTACAACTAAATAATATAAGTTGTAGCAGTATCACATGAAGCAAAGAACTTAACTATTAGATTGATAGACATCATTGACTGTGACTTCGTGCACGATTAAAGAATTGTGTCAACGTCTTCAATCAAATTTGCTTGGACTGCCTATTTGTTGAAACGTAGCACCCCTTTAACTGACATGACTTGTTTCAACTTGTCATCAGTAAGTGTAAGAACCATTCACTGCATATGTTTTACTTGTCATTAGTAAGTGTAAGAACTATTCACTGCATATGATTTACTTGTCATTAGTAAGTGTAAGAACTA